AGCCAAGACCTTAAGCAAGAGAGGAGCCTGAACTGGCCTTGCCTTGTAGTCAGACTGATGAATATCTTAATATCACCATAGAACCTTCATCCAGCAACTGATGGAAACAGAAGCAGAGACCTGCATAAGAGCACTGGACTGAGCTCTCAAAGTCCAGTTGAAGAGTGGGAGGAGTGAGTGAGAATATGAACAAAGAGGTCAAGACCATGATGGGAACACCCACTGAAACAGTGTGCCTGAGCTAATGGGAGCTCACCAACACCAGTCAGACTGGGAAGGAACAAGCATAGGACCAAACTAGTCCCTCTGAATGTGTTTGATAGTTGCATGGCTGGGGCAGACTGCAGGGTCACTGGCAGTGGCACCAGGATTTGTCCCTACTGCTTGTACTAGATTTTGCGAACCCATTCTCTTTGGATGGATATATTGCTCAGCCTAGATAGAGTAGGGAGGCCCTTGGTACTTCTCAAAGCAATGTGCCTTACCTTCTCAGAGGATTGGTTGGGGGTGGGGTGGGAGTATGTGGAGGGAATGGGAGAAGAAGAGAGAGAGTGAACTTGGATTGGTATGTATAATGAAAGAAGATAGTCTATTTTCTTTTTTCTTTATTTATTGATTTTTATTGAGCTCTACATTTTTCTCTGCTCTTCTCCCTGCCTCTCCTATCTCCTTCAACCCTCTCCCAAAGTCCCCATGCTCCAAATTTACTCAGGAGATCTTATCTTTTTCTACTTCCCAAGTAGATTAGATACATGTATGTCTCTCTTAGGGTCCTCACTGTTGTCTAGGTTTTCTGGGATTGTGATTTATGGGCTGGTTTTTATTATCTATGTTTAAAAACCACTTATGAGTGGGTACATGTGATAATTGTATTTCTGGATCTGGATTACCTTACTCAAAATGATGTTTTTCAGCTCCATCCATTTGCCTGCAAAATTCAAGATGCTGTTGTTTTTTTTTCTGCTGTGCAGTACTCCATTGTGTAAATGTGCCACATTTTCCTTATCCATTCTTTGGTCCAGGGGCATTTAGGTTGTTTCCAGGTTCTGGCTATGATAAACATTGCTGCTATGAACATAGTTGAGCACATGTCCTTGTGGTACAATTGAGCATCCTTTTGGTATATATCCCAAAAGTGGTATTACTTGGTCTTGAGGAAGGTCATTTCTAATTTCCTGAGAAATCACCACACTGACATCCAAAGGGGTTGTACCAGCTTTCATTCCCACAAGAAATGCAGAAGTGTTCCCTTTTCCCCAAAACCTCTCCAGCATTAGTTGTCATCAGTATTTTTTATTTTGGCCATTCTTACAGGTGTAAGATGGAATCTCAGAGTTCTTTTGATTTGCATTTCTCTGGTGACTGAGGATGTTGAACATTTCCTTAAGTGTCTTTTAGATATTTTTGATTCATCTGTTGAGAGTTCTCTGTTTAGGTCTGTACTCCATATTTTTATTGGATTATTTGTTCTTTTGATGACCAATTTCTTGAGTTCTTTGTATATTTTGGAGATCAGAACTCTGTCTTTTTTAAATAAATAAATCAATAAAAATGCTGCTGGAATTATCCAGCCTATATATTCTGAAAATGTCTTGATTTCAAAATTTAAGTCAAAATGTATGATAATTTGAAGAAGAGATTTTGCTTTTCTTCCACAGGAAGTGAGATACTGTGGATTCACTCTAGGTTTATAAAAGTAAGGTTTGATCAAAATGCCTTGACTTCAAAATTTAAGTCTAAAGATATGTCACTTTGAATAAGAGGTTTTGCTTTTGTTTTTCCAGGAAATGAGAGTCTGTGGATTCATTCTTGGCTAAGAAAAATAAGGTTTAATTAAGGAAGACCAGATGAAAAATCTCCAATAGAATCAGATGACCCAGATGATCCAACATTTCAGAGTACATTTGTTGTAGTTGCCTATGTGTTCTACCTCAGAACAGTTTCAAGACTGGTGGCTGAAATGATCCAGCCTCACAGAATACTCCAGGACTACTTGGCCATAATCTTAAACTTTCTTTGTGTCCCCATAAGGTTTTAAGTTCCCCCAATCATCAACTATGCCCACATTCCCAAAATATGGATTATGGATGTTTGTCCTTGTTTAGTGTGTTGGTTACAAGTTGTTATGTATAATGGTCAGGAAAAAAAACTAAACAACAGAAATTAGGTTCAAGATTCTTGTTTTGAAAAAAAAAAGTCTAGGTAGTGCTTGAGCATGTCTTTAAGCCTACCGCACTTGGTATTACCAAGCGGTCTTCCATCCAAGTACTAATCAGGTGGGAACCTGCTTAGCTTCCAAAATCAGATGTGATTGGGCACATTCAGGGAGGGACAGCTGGAAGTAATTCTAGAAGATGAAGTCCCCTCTCCCAACAAAGTTTGTCCTCAGGATTAGGGACACCAATTAGGGGTTGATTATAACTGGTATAGGGTTGGGGATTGGGGTATAAATGTGTAATCTCAGGGATTTCCTTTGGGAAAATTTTTTTAAAACAAATATAAATATGATGAGATAGGAAGGTAGATCATTGAATTTACATTTTAAAAGCAACTGATGTAGGAGGTCCTTCTGTATTTCTGTTGCTTTCATTGGTTAAATAAAGAAACTGCCTTGGCCTTTTGATAGGACAGCAGCTTAGATAGGTGGAGTAGACAGAACAGAATGCTGGGAAGAAGGGAAGTGCGGCAAATGCCATGAATCTCCAGCCTGAGACAGACATAGGTTAGGATCTTTCCCGGTAAGCCACAGCCTCATGGTGCTACACAGATTTAATGGAAATGGGTTAATCAAGATGTGAGAGTTAGCCAATAAGAGGCTAGAGCTAATGGGGCAGGCAGTGTTTAAAGGAATACAGTTTCCTTGTAATTATTTCGGGTAAAGCTAGCTGGGAGCCAGGTGATGAAAAGCAGCCTGCTCTCCCTTTTACAACAGAGTGGTGCCCAACGTGATGGACTAAATCCACTTAAAAACCTGAGAGGGCTTAAAAAGGAGAGAGAGAGTTTAACACAGCTTTTTGCTGTTTGCTGGCAGGGTGCTGCCAAGAAATTTTCCTGACTCAGCAGCCTCAGCAGGAAAAAAGCTGTGTGGGTTTTAAAACACAGCTTCCTGGGCTGTGCTGCCAACGTGAACTCTGGCTATAAAGCATTTGAATGGTTTTTATGGGACTGGATTTTTTTTTTTTTTTCCTGCTTGGGATCTGGAAGAAAGTACTCTGAGACCATGTCTGTGCTCCCTGCATGGGCAGACTGTGGGATCAGGCTCAGGCAGGCAGGAGAGCATGATGGATTCCTGCCACCATACAGAAAAAAATGTTTCCAGGCTGCGCAGTGCTCTGTGTGGTAGATTTGTCTGTAACTCAAAAAGAAAGAGTTTATGTGCCGCACGCTCAGTCTCAAAGTTAAAGTGCTGAGTGTGGCTCCTACCTGGTAGCCCCAGAGCTAGCAGAAATGGTATGTCTACCATTTTGAAATTGAAGAGAGGTGGAGCCATTCCCAGATGAGGTATTATTCCTAGAAATTCCTTGCCTGCAATCCCTTTTCAGATGTCCTAATTTACCACAATTAAAACATTTGGCAGGTTGATGTCCCCTCATTGCTTTGGAAATTGCTTCTCCTACCCAGGATTCATCATCATAGGTAAACATCTGAAAATTCATGGTATGCTGAATCCATTTATCCATAGGTGTCAATCAAGACCTTAAAGGCCCAATTATCTTTTTGCATTCTAAGTTTGCATTTTCCAAAGCCAGCAATTCAAGAATTATTTGTCTAGCTTCTGGATCTGTTTCTCCTATGTGCAGAGCCTTATTTAATCTTTGTAAAAAGTCAGTATAGGGTTCTCCCTGTCCCTGCCTAATCCTGGTATATGACTCGATCCTTCTCCCTGATTCTAGTATTCTATCCCAAGCATTCAAGGCTGCTTTTGGCCTAGGGACAATACTTCTTTGTCATAAAGAGCTTGGACCTATGGATCAGCATAAGCTCCTACACCAAGAATTTGATCCTGTGAAACCTCCACACCTTTTGCTCTTCCTTGCTGTTCCATATGTTTGGATTCTTCTCTGAAATAAATTCCAAACATCAAGGAAGGTCCATCCTCTAACACCGCTGATGCTAACTGGGAGAAATCATGGGGCATAACCCTGACATTAGAAGCCCAAGTTCTTATCATTTCCTTAACAAATGTAGAGACATGCTTAATTTCCTTTAGATCATTCATTCCTGTCAGCGTCCATCTACCTTCTTTGGCTCCCTTTGAGCCTTTAGAAGTTGACGCTTTGTCAGAGTAAATTACAGGTTATGTCGCTATAAAATCCTCGGTAAACCAGTTCTGACAGTTGGTGGTGACAGTGTTTCCTGCCCTTGTGTCTTCTCACCCTGTTCATCAGCTCCAATAATTTCCTCAATCATTTCAAATCTCTTAATCATAATCTTTCATAAAGCCTGAATCTCCTGACCTGCAAATGTTTCTAATGATTTCCCTATGGTATCAATTTTCTGGTCCCCATTCTGCACCTGTGATTTCAAGGTCTTAATGTTTCCTTTCAAAGATAACATCTCCTCCTTGAACTGCTCCTGGATATCATGTAAATTGCCATCCTGGAGGTATATTCTGTCTGTTACTTTATCAAAACTCTGTGATAACTTCTGAATGTCAAATTCAACAGCCTGGACCCTCTCAGGTAAGTTCCTAGTACCCTTAGATATGGAGTCAATTTTGCCTATCATGGTATTAATCCTATCAATTAATGCCACATACTTCCATACTGATACAATATGGAGAAGAAAACTGAAACCTAATAACCAGTAAATTGAGGCACTTCCATAGGCATATAGGCCTCTTGTGATTTCTTCCATAGTGGCAGCAAAAACTGCGGCAAATGTCCCATTAAAAACCTTACTAGACCTGGAAGGAGATGGGAGGTCCTTGGACTTCCCACAAGGCAGGGAACCCGGACTGCTCTTCAGGCTGATGAGGGAGGGGGACTTGATTGGGGGAGGGAGAGGGATATGGGAGGCGGTGGAGGGGAGGAGGCAGAAATCTTTAATAAATAAATAAAAAAGAAAAGAACAAAAAAGAAAAAAAACCTGCCATTTTACCTGTTAACCAGCAGATGGCGCTGTTTCCAGGTCGCAACTGGAACGGATGCAATGGTGTCACGACAAATCCTGTTTTAAAATCTGCTCTGATATTTGTCTAAAAACTGGGGGGAAATGAGTCACTCGAGAGATTAGATGTAGCACACTGAGAGAGAAAACCCAGAGTTCCTCTAAGGTAATGGGGCATTGGAAAATTTGGGGACAGAGTGGGACTTGTAGTTTACAGGATCTGATCAACAGTGTGGGGGATGTAGGAGCAGTCTACCTACCTCTTGATCCTCTCTGTGTAGTTACAGCCTGTGTTTCATAGTTCTTCTTAGGTTGTGGGAGATAGGTATGTTTGGAGGCAAAATGGTACTTGTAACTTACAGGGTCCAATCAATGGGGTTGGGGTGTTGGAGCAGCCGACCTGCAGGAAGCTTGCCTGCTGGATAGCTAGAAAACCTGAAGGCAGGTTGGGGAGTAGCCCGTGGTTTTGCCCTGGAATGGAGGGCCTAGAGATTGGTGTGTCCCACCACATGGGTGGTCACTTACCTCTTCGTCTCTCTGTGTATTTGTGGCCTATGTTTTAGAGTTCCTCTGAGCTCATGGGGTATAGAGATCTGGGAGCTGAGTGCAACTTGCAACTTACAGGGTCCTATCATTGGGGTTGGGGTGTTGGAGCAGCCGACCTGCAAGAAGCTTGCCTGCTGGATAGCTAGAGAACCTGAGGCAGGTGGGGGAGGGACCCAGGGTCCTGCCTCACTAAGGAGGACCTAGAGAGTTGGGTGTCCCACCAGGTGGGTGATCACTTACCTCTTGGTCCTCTCCGTGTATTTGCAGACTGCTGTTCATAAATTATTATACCTTGCAGCAAGACACAGGCTCATGTCCATATATTTGTAAAGACAGAATGTCTACATTTTCATGAGTGGAATAAGACAGTAATGACATGTTGGTCTCTAACAGTAGATTTGTCAGATAAGGTTATGACTGCTGTGCTGAAATCCCATGGTAAAGCAACTTAGGGAGGAAAGTGTTTATTTGGTTTACATATCCTGAGCCATAGTCCACTGAGTGAACAAAAGGAAGAACTCACAACAGGCTGGAAACATGGAGGCAGAAACTGATATAGAGGCTGTGGGTGAGTGCTGCATACTAAATTGCTCCTCATGGTTTGCTCAGCCTGCTTTCTTATGGAACCCAGGACCACCAGCCCAGGGAAGATCTCATTAAATGTGAGCTGGAGCTCTCCCAATCCATCACTAGCTGTAAAACTGTCCTGCAGGCTTTCCTACCTGCAGCCCAATCTTATGGAGGCATTTTCTCAATTGAGGTTCCCTCTTCTCAAATGAATTAACTTGTGTCAAGTTATTGTCTTACTTAGGGTTACTACTGCTATGATGAAATACCATGACCAAAGCAACTTGAGGAGGAAAATTCTTTATTTCCCTCTCATTTCCATGTAACAGTTCATCCTCAAAAGCAGTGAGAGCAAGAACTCAAGTATTGCCGGAACCTACAGTTATGAGCTGGTGCAGAGGCCATGGAGAAGTACTGCTTACTGACTTGCTCGCTCATAGCTTGTCAAGCCTGTTTTCTTATAGAACCCAGGCGTACCAGCCCAGGAGTATTGTCACATACTCTGGGAGGGGTTCTGCTACACCAATCGCTAATTAAGAAAACTGAAAAGCAAAGGGCATGGTCAATAAGACAAAATGACAGCCTACAGAATGGGAAAAGATCTTCACTAACCCCACATCAGACAGATAAGATAAGGCCAAGATAAAAAAAAAAAAAAAAAAAACACTGACAACTTATGCTGGAGAGGTTATGGGGAGAGAGGGAACACTTCTGCATTGCTAGTGGGAATGCAAGCTGTCACAACCCCTTTAGATGTCAGTGTGGCAATTTTTCAGAAATTTAGGAAGCAACCTTCCTCAAGACCCAGTAATACCACTTTTGGGTATATATCCAAAGGATGCTCAATTGTGCCACAAGGACATGTGCTCAACTATGTTCATAGCAGCATTGTTTGTCATAGTCAGAACCTGGAAACAACCTAAATGCCCCTTGACTGAAGAATGGATAAGAAAAATTTACACAATGGAGTATTACACAGCAGAAAAAAATAACGACATCTTGAATTTTGCATGAAAATGGATAGATCTAGAAAACATTATTTTGAGTGAGGTAACCCAGACACAGAAAGACAATTATCACATGTACTCACTCACAGGTGGTTTTTAAACATAAAGCAAAGAAAACCAGCCTACAAACCACAATCCCAGAGAATTTAGACAACAATGAGGACACTAAGAGAGACTTACATAGATCTAATCTACATGGGAAGTAGAAAAAGACAAAATCTCCTGAGTAAACTGGGAGCATGGGGGCCTTGTGGGAGAGTTGAAGGGGGGGATATGCAGAGAGGGGAGCAGAAAAAAATGTAGGGCTCAATAAAGAATCAATAAAAAATGAAATAAATTTAACTTAAAAAATAGAAACTTGGCACTAGAGAATTTCCCATGAATCCACAAGGATGACCCCAGCTAAAACTCTAAGCAATAACGCCGGAAATGGCCTTGCAGTGAGAAGAGCTCCAGTGTCACGCGTCATCCTTGCGGGTCGAGGGTGGCAGTGACAGATGGTGGCCCCTATGGGGATCGCTTCTCTTCTCTCTGTGGAGCTCAGAACTTGCTGCAGTCAGGGGGTGCACCAGACAGTCCCCAGGTAAGGCTGGGGATCCGGGACAAAAAGCGGGTTTTCCACTCTCGCTGGTAGAAGGGAGAGTGGGGGTAATAGGGCCGTGACTACAGCGGACGGTTTAAAAGTGAAACTAAAAGGAAGAATGGGATTTTAGAATGGGCGCTTCAACATCACACCTGATTTTTCTGGCTCTTAATGAGCTGTTTCGGAGCGCTATGGAGAGTTTTTTGGCTAAATATGACACAATTGCTTCTTGGTTTGCCATCTCAGGCAATCTTAATGTGTCATCCTGGGACAGGCTTGGTAGAGATCTAGATTTTGCCACTAAACAAGGTACGCTGAGAAAGGGAATTATATTCATATGGTTCCAATTACCGAGGCCTCCGGAGTTTGCAATGGAGTATGAGCAGCTGCGGCCTCAAGGCCAAGGAGCTCTAGGCAGCTCCACGGCCAAGCAGCACTGAGGGTCTACAAAGCTGCAAACACCAGGACTTGCCTCAGGGCATAGAAGCACAGCACAAGACAGTTGGCCTGAACCTCCGTCCCAGCCCAGGGCAACCGGAGGGCTGCTCCCTGTTGCCACGCCTCCACCTTCCAGCTCGGTGGGGAGGAGCCTCTGCCTCTCCCCTGCCATCGCTGCGAACTGAGTAAAAACCCTTAAGAAAGCAAGGTCCCCGCTCAGCAGGAAGTAGCCAGAGAGATTGACAACACCCAAATTCCCTAAAACATAGTTTAAGCGGGGCCCCTTCAGAGCAGAAGCAGGATCAGCTGGGTTGCTAGGGAAGCCAAAGAGGTGCACGAGGGAGAAGGTGTCTTCCATGCACTCAGCTGACAAGAATGAATGAGCCACGGGGGTATGGCAGCTGGGGTATGTTATTAGAGGCAAGTCTATATCCTAGTCTGTCAGACATTTCTATCCATCCGGGGCTGTGTGTGACCAGCATTCAATATGACTCATGCAGCTAATTTGTTTAAAGAATTATCTAGATGTCTTTTAGGTTATTGGTCTGGTGAATTCGAACAACAACTGGAAAAGTTGCGGGTGGCGATGGTGACTGCAGATTCCACATGCATGGATACCAGCATGGCAGAAGAACTATCTTCCTGGATCACTCCATGGATCATCTGAAGGAGTGGGCGGGAATAAGAGCCCTGGCAAGCTTAATGGTGCTTGCCTCCCTGGTATGCCTGTGGTGCATTTGTCACATAAGGGTTTCACAGCATCGCAATGCAGTTATGATCATTCAGGCCTTCACAGCCATTGAAGCAGGACAGTCTCCCCAAGTTTGGCTATCTACCTTAAAAGAGATGTAAGCGAGCACAGGATGCGAGGCTTGCGCACTGCACTTGAGGTTAAGCATACATCAACCTCAAGAAGAGCAAGTCTGAGTGCATGTGGGTTGGTGTCTATCTCCCACCTCTGTGAAAAAGGACACCGGACAGGTGTAATGTTCTCTGGTTGGATGACATCCGGAAAGACATTAGCACATGTCCCATTTCTAACAGAGATCAGACCTCTACTCTTGCCTGTTGCTTTGTAAAACAAAAAGGGGAACTGTAGAGAGCTGCGTGGAACCACGTCTTAAAGATGGCACTGGCTTCCGCCCTCCGTGATCCCGAAAGCCAGTGCTCTCAGTGAAAAACAACACCATATATGGCAGAGGCCGGACCCTTGCGATCATCACCCGATAATCGCAAGCTGCTTACATGAGCGTGGACCAATGAACGGCGCCCACGTGGCTATCTAGGGTTGGTTGCCCAGGCCTACTTAAGGGCTGGGTTTGCGGGGTGGGGGGGGGAGACAGAGAGAGAGAGAGAGAGAGAGAGAGAGAGAGAGAGAGAGAGAGAGAGAGAGAGAGAGAGAGAGAGAGAGAGAGAGAGAGAGAGAGAGAGAGAGAGAGAGAGAGAGAGAGAGCGAGCTTCTATTGTAAAAGTCCTGAATAAAACTGCAGTGAGAAGAGCTCCGGTTTCACGCGTCATCCTTGCGGGTCATCCTTGCGGGTCGAGGGTGGTCGTGACATCATACTTTTCCCATTCTAAGGATTTTACTAATGAGCCTGGAGATGAGATGGAGACCAAAGAGAACCAGTGAGACTCCTGGTCAACAATAAATAAATGGGACCTCCCTGAACTGGAGAAGCTTCTGTAAAGCAAAGGACACAGTCAATAAGATAATGTGGGTAACAGTTGTATGACTAGGGCAGACCGAGGGGCCACTGGAAGTGGCACCAGGATTTATCCCTACTGCTTGTCGTGGCTTTTTGGAACCCATTCTCTCTTGAGGGACACCTTGCTCAGCATAGCTAAGGTAGGGAGGGCCTTGGTCCTTCCTCAAATCAATGCGCCTTCAGTGGATGGAAAGGTGGAGAGAATGGGAGGAGGGGAGAGAGTAGGAACTGGGATCGGTGTGTGAAATGGAAAAGATAGTTTGTTTTCTTTAAAAAAAAAAGAAAAGAAAAGAAATAAAAGGAGCAAACTGAGCAAGGAAAAATACTTGAGGAGAAAGGGGGTACCAGAAAGTGGAATAGAGCTGAATCTGTGTTCAAGGAGATAAATAGACTAAACATTGAATGAACAGAGTAGTAACATCCGGGCAAAAATCCCACCCAGCTAAGATTCCAATTTGTGAAAAGGAACTAAAGAAAAACTTAGAGATTCATGAGGTGGTGCACGTCTTCAATTCCAGCACTGGGAATACAGAGGCTGGTAGGTCTCTGAGTTTGAGGTCACCCTGGTCTAGAAATCCTGTTTCAGGTCAATCAGGCATAGGCAATAAAAGATAGAAAGCTAGTAAAGATGTAATTGAATGGGGGGGGGGAAGCATGTCCCAGCTCCCATATGCAGCAGAACTTGGCAGCTTTGAACACATGGTTTGGGGATCTTGTCACGACAGAGACTGTACTAGAATATTTTGAGATTTCTATTGCAAATGGAATTAATCCAAAAATCTTCAATCTAGCATCAGACAGATTCTTCAGACAAGGGCAAGAGACAGTCACTTCCTTCACCAAAACATTACAAGAATGATTTCTAAGCAACACACTCAAATTCGTCTCTGAAACCTCTTGAGTCAGCTCACAACATTTCCAAACAGCAGCAGCACCATTTTCGTCCTTACTCCTACTAGTGTGGTCCATTACGCAGTGCTTAAATAATTCCACTACTTTCTTAACAGAAGTCCAAGAAGTCAGGCCTATCACAGCAATACCCCCAGTCCCTGGTACCAACCTCTGCTTGGTTGTGCTTTTATTGGGTGGCTTGTTTACACTGTTAGGGGTTCAGCCCATTATCATCATCATGGGGAGCATGGAGGTGTACAGGCAGACTTGGTGTTGAAGCTGAGAGTGCCAGATCTTGCAGGCAACAGGAAGTCAACTGAATGTCACACTGAGTAAAGTCAGAAAAAAGACCTCAAAGACCACCCCCACAGTGACACACTTCCTCAAATAAAGCCACACTTTCTTATAATGCCACTCCCTTTGGGGGCCATTTTCTTTCAAACCACAACAGTATCTGTATCAGCAGTTAAGGCAATAAAGACCTCCACTGACTCTGTCCTAATGTTTCTTTTCCCCTGAGGAAAACAGAGCCAGAAGGAGTTACTGGCAATCATCCCAGGTCAGGCTATAGGTGCAGAGGACAGATGCCAGAGGAAAGTTAAGGCTTTGAGTTTGTCAGAAAAGAGGAAAGGGCATTCCAGTCATGCAGATCTGAAGTAGAATAGGGGGCACAGATTAGAAAAGGGTAGATCCCTACCCCTAAATCTATGCCTACTCCACTTCCGGGAAGGCGTGGGGTCTCTCACAGAGAAAGACAGAGGCCAGGACTGACTCTTGAGTCCAGAGCATGGTAGGTGCTCACCCAGAACCAAAAGTGGCCAAGGAAGTGTGGGTGGTGTGAGGAAATGGGATGTCCCCAACAGATGGGATTCTGATGGTGACAGAGGGAGAAGGGAAGGAGATAGTGGTATAGATCCAGGGGAGGGAGTGGGGGTAGTAGGGATGGAGTAGAGGGCAGAAGTGTATAGAGTTTAGTGGGAAAGGATGGAGGGGTCTGAGGTTGGAAAGAGGAGAATGAAACTGGAGACGATTAGCCTGAGGATGAGAGACGTGAACGTAGGTTTTAGGGAAAGGCAAGAGAAGCCAACAGATAGCCCTAGACTTCCAAAGTGGCAGGACAGGCGGCAAGAGGTGAGTGATAGGGAGGTTTTAGAAACCCAAACAGTAGGATAATCCCTAAAAGTGCAAATCATACGCCTAGCTAATGAGTTTTGAACAAATTTCCAACCATTTATCGATATAAGGGAACTGATCGGAGCGCACCAGGGTCGTTGTAACCTTGACCCAGCCTGCCTTTGAAAGAGTACATCCTTTCTTTGTGAGCAAACCCCCATAGTCTTGCCCAAAGCTTTGAGAGAAAAAAATTTAATTACACAATTCTTTATTGATTCTTTGGGAACTTGACATCTTGTACCCCAATCCTGCTCACCTTCCAGTCCCTCCATATCTGTTCCTCACCCTGAAGCATCCCTGCTAAAGAAATTCCCCCGAAGTTAAGTAAAAACAAAAATTACCACACCCCTCCATCTTTCTCACCTCTCTAACACCTTTTCATCCATCCTAGTGTCATTTGGAACTATGATGTGTCACACAGTGTGGTAGCTTGAAAGGAAATGCCCCCTAAAGGGAATGGCACTATTAGGAGGTGTGGCCCTGTTGGTCTAGATATAATCTTGTTGGAGGAAGTACGTCACTGTGGAGGCAAGCTTTGAAGTCTCATATGTGCTCAAGGTATTGTCCAATGTCTCAATTGGCTTCCTTCTCCCTGCATATCAAGATGTAACAGCTCCTGCAACACCAGCTCTTCCTACATGCCACCATGTCACACCATGATTTTAATGGATTAAACCTCTGAAAATGTAAGCTCTCCCCAATTAAATGCTTCCTTTTATAAGAGTTGCCTTGGTCATGGTATCTCTTCACAGCAATAGAAATCCTGAGACTCACAGTATACCCTTTTGTCCAGTCAGCCCCACCCACAAACGTTCATTGCAATGAGTCACTTGGTCTTGATCAAGGCTCTGGCATGCCATCATCGCTGGACCCTCACCAAAACTCCTCCTGTTGTTGCCCCCAAGTTATGAAGATCCTGTGGCTATGGTTCTGCAGGACCACCCCTTCACATGCTCCAGAAGGTCATAGAAGTAAGAGATGCTAGGGTTTGCAAACCCAAGGCCCAGGATGTGGATCTTGATGGTAGCTGAGCTTTTCAGTCTGGAATTCTGGGACAGTCTCCTCAGATGAAGGAGGGTCAGCTCTCATATGCCATGGACTCAGATGGCTAACCAGATTCCCTGCAATCACACATCCCCCGTGGTAACAGGAGCTACAACATCAACGCAGACCCTGGATGTGGTAAAAACACGGACAACCACATTTTACTTCCAAGTTCTGATGGTTTTCTTTAACTCTTTCACACAAATTCAATACTAAGCAAAATACTAACTTCCATGAAGCAGAAAAATGAAAACCACTTTACTTCAATTCTGGGAGATTGCAAATTCTGTAAATGACTGCCTGGAATAGTAAGTTAACTTGACTGTTCCCAGAAACTTTGAAGATCAATGTCCAGAGCAGACATGGGACAGTGCACTGACAAAATTTCTCACACAGCAGATCATTAACAGACTCCATTACAGAAAGCAAATCACCCGACTGTTTCTCTTGGTGGCTCCAAAGCAATCAGCTCCCTACCTAACCCTGACTCAGAGGAGGGGCGCATGAAAAAGAGCTTGGAATCAACCCTTTTAGTGTGTCTTAGTGAAAAAGAAGTTTTAGAAACCTAAATGTATTCATTTTTGCCTCCCACTGGAGATAGGGATTCAGCCTAGATGGCCTTTCAGGACCTTCTTATTCACATTGGCAGCCTGGGGAGGTTCCAGATCTTTCAGATGGTTTTCCTTCTGATCTGCATTGGCCTGGTGCTTCCCCACTCTCTTTTGGAGAACTTTACTGCAGCCATTCCTAGCCATCGCTGCTGGGTCCCCGTTCTTGACAATGGCACTGTCTCTGGCAATGATAGTGGGATCCTGAGTCAAGATGACCTCCTGAGGATCTCAGTTCCCCTGGACTCCAACCTGAGGCCAGAAAAGTGCCGTCGCTTTGTCCAACTACAATGGCATCTCCTTCATCTGAATGGCAGCTTCTCCAGTGTGACAGAGCCAGACACAGAGCCCTGTGTGGATGGTTGGGTGTATGACCGAAGCACCTTCCTCTCCACCACTGTGACCCAGGTCAGTCAATCCCTTTTCCCATCAAGCATTCATGATAGAACTTTATTAAAAGCCTTAAAAATACACATTTTTAGAATAGCCTTAATTTTTAGTCATTGTAATAATTTCTCTATTATATATGAAACATATTTAATGCATCTAGAGGTTGTTTTGAAAATGGTAATAATTTATTCTCCTTGTCCTTTTATTATAGTGATGGCCGTTATTTAAGAAGTAATTTTTATGTCAAGTCAGGTTAAGCAAATACTTCACGTGAAACCTCGTAAGCATAACAAGTCGGTAATCATTATCTTTAATTTCACACTTAAGATATCTTGAAGACTACACAAAACTACAGAGGCTGACCTGGAATGTGGCTCAGTGCTACAGTGATTGTGTAGCATGTGTGAGGTCAAGGATTCAAACCCTAACACTACCCTCCCAAAAAAAAAGACTTGTGTTACATTCTTTATGGACTAAAGTACGGCTAATGGCTAGCACACTTCCCAAATGTTAAAAGCCCTACAGTTCATCACCAATAGATAGATAGACAAGTGAAGTCGGTGACAGTCTCTACACTTGAAGTAGTCAGATGAGAGACTGTGCACCGACAACAAGACCCAGCAATTCTTTAAGTCTAAACTCACTGCATAATATTTCCATATTTGAGAAACTCTTTTAAGGGAGGGAGGGATTCAAGACAGGGTTTCTCTGTGTAGCCCTGACTGTCTTGAAACTCACTCTATATACCAAGCTGGCGTCAAACTCAGAGATCTGCCTGCCTCTGCCTCCCAAATGTTGGAATCAAAGGCATGTTCCATCATTGCCTCGCCATTTGAGAACTTCTTAGCTCAAGTTACAAGTCATTAATATAACAGAATTGCAGGAAGATTCCCAGAAATAGGTTTGTTTACGCTGACACTACTAGATGGTGGAAGTCAGGTGATGATGAAATGGGAGCTGGAGGGGAAGATGGGGCAGGTACCAGAAGCTCATGTTGAAGAATCTGAACAAATTACATGACAGGCTATCATGCTGCTTTTCTTCTCTTTCAGTGGGACCTGGTATGTCGATCTCAGGCACTGAATTCAGTGGCTAAATTTTTATTCATGATGGGCCTTTTTACAGGACATATCATAGGTGGCCGTTTATCAGACCGGTGAGTAGCTGAGCTCTGCAGCTAGCTCTCTCTGCTTCTGGGTATTTGTATCATCTGTGAGTTGTTCGTTCATTAAGAAGTAGTCATTGTAGATTATATTTCTCTATATGTACCTTTGAGTCTAGAGATCACTGAACACAAATGGAAATGTTAAACATTAAAAGTCCATGTACTGTGTGGACACAAAAGTAGCTATGCAAGATATGGTTTAGAGAAGAGGCAAAGCAATATGATTTAGGAAGATAAAGAGTTAACTATGAGAATGAGACAAATTGGCTTCACCATATAGAATTCATCCTATTTGAATATTTAAATGAAATATTTAGTGGAAAACACCATTGTCACTCTTGGTCTGGGTCACTAGGCCCCGTACTTCTCAGACATTGTCCTAAGTAGTCATGATGACAACAGAATATGAATTATGCTTTAATTGCTCAAGCATGACACAGGAATATCCTTTGATTCAGGTGGCCCACAGGGAAATGTACAATGCATGTGCTGAGAACCCATGCCTGTTGTTCCCGTTTTTGTTTCTGCCACAGGGAATTCTTATTTTTTAATTGAAAAGAAATTTTTTTCATGCAATATTATTATCAGGTTTGTCCCCCCCATTCCTACCAGATGCTTCCTACCAATCCAACTTTAAGTTATCTCTCTCTCTCTCTCTCTCTCTCTCTCTCTCTCTCTCTCTCTCTCTTTAAAACAAATAAGAATACAAAAATAAAAAACAAGAACGTGTATACAAACAAAACTCAAAAAGCAGGAAAATGGAAATCAAAAAAGAAACAAGGAAAAGACCCATGAGACCCCAACAAATGCCCAAACAAAGCAAAATAAGATCAAAAGTCTGCAAAGATACCATTGAGTTAATTTTGTATTGGTCAACTACTCCTGGGCCTGAGACCTACTCTGAAGTGTTTCTAATCCACCCAATGAGACCCCATTAACAAAAACTTACTTTTTGTTCTCCAGTGAGTTTATATTTCAGAGAGCTTCTTGATTAGAACTAGGAGCCTGTGTACACTTCCCCTTCACAGAATTAAATAAATACAATATAAAAGAATGAAACACATCTTTGTATCATTAAACAAATATTCCACAGTATAATTTAATCCAACACACCTTAAATTAATATTCCACCACAAGGGTTGAAGCAGAAATTAAGGTTGAAACAGAAAGTTTAGGAACATATGGCAAAATAAATCAAAAGGCAAGCAGCGGGACATGATAGAGAACACTACATAGACAAAAAGAAGGACAGCACTCTGTGAAAAATAAAGCTGCTCCCAACATGCTCTGGCTGGCACCCACAGAGACCGTCTCTGAGGAGCATGCCCAAATCAACTTTACCCTAATAAACTTTTCAAGTCCATGGGCACGTCTACCTTCATAAATATTCATGTGATTATTGTATCTAATATATCAGTCTGAATTGAGGGTTAAAAACAGCTTCTAAGTCACCTCCTCCTCTTCCAAGGAGGAGAACACCCCCAGACCATTCTAGAAAGTAACAAGGGGAAGATATCTAGCAGACTCCATCTTAAAAACTCAGATATTAGAGGAAAGCTTTATTGTTGTCACTTGGCATATTTAGCTGTCCACTAAGGAGTAGACTTTGTGTTCTTGCTCACTCTTCTGATTTAAAACAAAAACTATGACTGATTGAAAACAAAATATGAACTGATGGCCTGGACCGGTGTGAATTCCTATGCCTTGGTAGCATAAGAAACAAGAGTTCTGCAAACAAAACACCCACTAATGTCTTTCTGTAGAATTCACACTGGCCTCAAATTCTTTGTGCGCCAGAGTAGCATCCAAATCATGATCCTGGTGCCTCAATTTACCAAGTTATGGAATTATAGGTGGATACTACTGCACTTGGATAAATAGTTCTTCTAAAATATATTTCTGTTCAATATGAATATAGCCTCTTCAACCCTCTCTTTCTTGCATAGAATATGTTAATCGACAACATTATTTCACTTATTCAAAGAACTAGTTCACATCTAGGTCTTTATCTTTAGGTCTTTATCTTTAATTCATTCTCATTATTTCTATATTTCATTGAAGTTTTTACCCTTTTCACATTGGGTATTTTTCAAACATGGTTGCATTTACTCTATCTTTTCATTTTTTTTCTATTTTTTTTTCAACAGAAATGTGTGTGAATATAGGCATTATCCTATAACTATAGATGGCACACATCCTCAAAGAACATGGAGATCTTAAGTTTATATGTCAACTATTAGAGCAAGATTGGTTTCTTTTTTTTTTTTTTTTTTTTTTTTGGTTTGTCGAGACAGGGTTTCTCTGTGGCTTTGGAGCCTGTCCTGGAACTAGCTCTGTAGACCAGGCTGGTCTCGAACTCACAGAGATTCACCTGCCTCTGCCTCCCGAGTGCTGGGATTAAAGGCTTGCGCCATCGCCCGGCTTCAAGATTGGTTTCATCTTCAAATAGTGTTCTTCCAAATGGCAATCTGTCACCAAAAATAGAAGCTATTGTGTCTTTTCTTTCATATAAAGAAAATATTTAATGGCGTGGCTTACAGGTCAAGGGTTCAGTCCATTATCAACGTGGTGGGACATGGCAGCATGCCGACAGAAATGGTGCAGAAGAAGGAGCTGAGAGTTTTACATATTGATTTGTAAACAGGAAGTGTTCTGAATACTAGGCATAGCTTGAGCATATATCAATTCTCAAAGCCTGCCTCCACAGTGACACACTTACCCCAACAAAACCATAGCCACACTTTCTAATAATTCCACTTCCTAAAATTCAATGAAAATGACCACACAACATACCCAAGTTTATGGGACACAATGAAAGCAGTATTAATAGGAAAGTTCATAGTACTAAATACCTACATAATGAATCTGGAAAAATCCCACACTAGTGTATTAACAGAAAATTTGAGAACTTTACAACAAAAGAAGCAAACTCACCTAAGAGAACTACAAGACTGGAAATAATCAAATTGAGAGCTGAAATCAACAAAAAAGAAACAAGAAAACAATACAGAGAATCAACGAGACAAAGAGTTGGTTCTTTGAGAAAACAGACAAAATTTTACTGAAACTAACCAAAAGGCGGAGAGAGAATATCCAAATTAACAAAATCAGAAATGTAAAGGGGGATATAACAAGAGACATGGAGGAAATACAGAGAATCATCAGGTCATATTCAAAACTTTGTCCTTCACAAAATTGGAAAACTTAAGGAAATGCAGAACTTTCTTGGATAAATATCACTTACCAAAATTAAATCAAGACCATATAAGCAAATTAAACAGACATATAACTGCTGAAGAAATAGAAATAGTCATCAAAAGTCTCCCAACCAAAAAAAGCCCAGGACCAGATGGTTTCAGCTCAGAATTCTACAAAACCTTCAAAGAACTATATTCTCCTCGAATTATTCCACACAATAGAAATAGAAGGAACAGTGCCAAACTCTTTTAATGAGGCTACAATTACCCAAACCACAGAAAGAAATTACAAAGAAAGAGAATTACAGACCAATCTCACTCATGAACATTGATGCAAAAACACTAGCAAAACAAATCCAAAAACACATCAGAACCATCAACCATGATCAAGTCAGCTTCATCCCAGAGATGCAGGGATGGTTCAACATATGAAAAATCTGTCAACATAACCCGCCATTTAAACAAACTGAAAAATAAAAACCACATGATCATCTCATTAGATGCTGAAAAAGTTTTTGACAAAATACAGCATCCCTTCATGATAAAGGTCTTGGAGAGGAACATACCTAAACATAATAAAGGCAATATACAGCAAGCTAACAGCCAACATCAAACTAAATGAAGAGAAATTCCCAGCAATTACACTGAAATCAGGATCAAGACAAGGTTGTTCACTCTCTCCATATCAACTCAATATAGTTCTTGGGGTCCTAACTAGAGCAATTAGACACCAAAAGGAGATCAAGGGGATACAAATTGGAAAAGAAGAAGTTGAACTCTCACTGTTTGCTGATGATAAAATTGTTTACATAAGAAATCCCTAAAATCCTACCAACGAATTTCTACAACTCATAAACATTTTCAGTAATGTAGCAGGATACAAGATTAACTCAAAAAAGTCAGTAGCCCTCCTGTACACAGATGATAAAAGGTATGGGAAGAAAATTCAGAGAAACAACACAATTCACAATAGTCACAAATAGCATGAAATATCTCAGAGTAACTCTAACCAAACAAGTGGAAGACTTGTATGACAAGAACTTTAAGTATTTGAAGAAAGAAAATGTAGAAGATACCAGAAAGTGGAAAGATCTTCTATGCCCTTGGAGAGGCAGAATTAACATAGTAAAAATGGCAATCTTACCAAAAGCAATCTACAGATTCAATGCAATGCCCATCAAAATCCAAGCAAAATTCTTCACAGACCTTGAAAGAATGGTACTCAACTTCATATGGAAAAGCAAAAAATCCAGGATAGCCAAAACAATCCTGTATAACAAAAGAAGTTCTGGAGGCATCACAATCCCTGACTTCAAATTCTGCTACAGAGCTACAGTACTGAAAACAGCCTGGTACTGGCATAAGAACAGACAAGAGGACCAATGGAACTGAATAGAAGACCTAGATATTAATCCACATACCTTTGAACAAATGAAAAATAGAAAGTATATTTAACAAATGGTTTTGGCATAACTGGGTATCAACATGTAAAAGAATGAAAATAGACCCATATCTATCACCATGCACAAAACTCATGTCCAAATGTATCAAAGACCTCAAAATAAAGCCAGTCACCCTACACCTTATAGAAGAGAAAGTGGGGTTTGTTGCACTCCCATGGCGTTTGCTGTCTCAGGCCTGCTCTAGCCTAGGTTGTTGGCTCAGTGCTCTTTCTGTAAATGTCTCCAGTCTAGATCCACTCCTGCAGAGGCTCCTGGCTTGGGTTTAGTCCTGTAAAGGTCTCTGGCTCTGATCTACTCCCTTGGAGGTCCCAGACACAGGTACACTCAGACCTGCAGAGAACCTGGCTCAGGCTTACTCCCTCAGATGTCCCAGACTCATGGCTGGACATGCAGAGATCTCTGGTTCCTGCCTACTCCCTCAGAGGTCCCAGATTCATGCCCTGACCCACAGGGGCCATGGCTCAGGTCTACTCCCTCAAAGGTCCTAGTTTCACACCCAGACCCACAGCAGTCTCTGGCTCTGGCCCACTCAGTTAACATTTGCTCCCCTGTACCTGCTCCTGTGGAGTTCGCTGTCTCAGGTCTGCTCTGGCCCAGGTCACTGGCTCAGTCCTGACTCCACAAATGTCCCTGGTCTGGATCCGCTCCTGCTCTAATGGAGCTCGCTTTCTCAGGCCTGCTCCCATGGAGCTCACCACCTCAGGCCTGCTCTGACCTACTCCGCTGGCCCAGTCCTGCTCTCATGGATTTCACTGTCCCAGGCCCACTCAGGACCAGGTCGCTGACTCAGTCCTGCCCTTTTGGAGTTCGCTGCCACAGATCTGCTTTGGCCTAGGTTGCTGGCTCAGTCTTGCTCCTATGGAGTTCACTGCCTCAGGCCTGCTCTGGCCCAAGTCACTAGCTCAGTCCTACTCCTGTGAGTTCATTGTCTCAGGCCTGCTCTAGCCTAGATCACTGGCTCATTCCTACTTCTGTGGAATTTATTGCCTCAGGTCCTTTCTGGCCCAGGGTCACTAGCTCAGACTTGCTCCTGTGGAGTTTGTTAACTCAGGCCTGCTCGTACCTGTTTCTATAAACCCTGGTCTGAATCACTCCTGCAGAGGTCCCTGGCTTGGGGTTGGTCCTTCAAATGTCGCTAGCTTTGGTCTACTCCCTCAGAGGTCCCAGACTCACACCCAGACCTGCAGAGGGTTCTGGTTCTTCCCTACTCCCTTTGATGTCCCAGACTCCAGTGCACCCAGACCCACAGAGGACCTGTCTCAGGCCTACTCCCTCAGAGGTCCCAGACTCACACCTGTTATAAGGATATTTAAGACTTCAGTGACAACACAGAAAAAAGGACTGACTTTGCAACAGTTTGGTAAATGTTTCAGGCCACTATACTTCAAAAATAAAATAAATAAAGAGAATTCTTTGCAAAAATGAGAGTCTGAATTCCAAATATCTACATTGTAACAATCAAATATAAATTATTACAAGAATAATAAAGCAATAAATATGACAAGGACAAAAGGAAGTATGACCACTCAAAATGAAGCATACTAGGAACGGTCTCTGCAGGAGATTTACAAGAAGAATACTTTAAAAGGCATATCTTAAATATATACAAAACAATGAAATAGGTCATGGAAAAGGTATTAACGACAACTGGGAAACTAGCGTACAGGGAAATCAGTAATAGAAAGTACATAAAAGACAAAACAGAAACCTGGATTTTAAAACTACAATAAATCAAAGTTTTCCCTAGAGACATTTAGTAGAAGATGGCACTAACACAATCATGAATAAGAGTAGAGCAGCAGAACAGGAAAGCTGTAAAAATTAAGAAGCCAAACAATAGTTTACAAGTAACTAGTTTTCAGTAGACTTATGGGACATCAGCAGGCTAAACAAAAATATGCATTATGGGAGTATAAGAAAGAGAAGAGAATGGGGAAGGAACAAACTTTTTGGAAGATATAATGATACGTTTGATGTAATATATCAATATACAAATTCAAGAAGTTAAAATCTAAGAAAGTGAATGCAAAGACCTTCCTTCACAGGAATAATAAATAGATTATAAACACTCAAGAATCAAAAGATTGTATACACACAATTGTATAAAAGTGATTCATTCTCATTTCAGATTTTCTCATTTGAAATTAAATCTTTTGACACCAAAGTTCATAATAAGTTCAAGTATTTGAATACTTTGTTCCCTAACTGGAGGACAAGCTTGGAAGGTTATAAGACTTTGGGATGTGGGACTTGATTGGCAGAAATGGGTTGCTTGAGGTTAATGTTGAAGGAGATACTCACTTTGGTTTCTGTGTGAATTCTAACTGGTTTAGACTCAAAGGGAGGAACTCTGTCACCTGCTCCTGAAACCATGGATTCTCATTATGGCAGGCAGATGGCACCCTCAGAAGTTGTGAGCCAAAATAAATCTTTCCCCTAAGTAGTTTCTGTCAGATAGTTTGTCACCATGATTAAATAAATAGCTAATAGATATGTTATGTGCACAATTTAGTATGACACACTTGTGTTAAAATTCCAGACGTGTAGTCTGTCATATATGGCTTAACTCATATGGAAAACTAGTAATAAGAAATCAAGAAGAGCAAAGCAGTGGTGGTGCACACCTTTAATCACAGCACTTGGAAGGCAGAGGCAGGTGGATCTCTGGGAACTCAAGGCCAGCCTGGTCTACAGAGAGAGCTCCAGGACAGTCAGGGCAACACAGAGAAACCCTGCTTTGAAAAGACAAAGAAGAAAAAGAAAGAAAAGAAAGAAACTGGGAAGAGCATATGGGGAGGTACACACATTAAATCCCAGTGCTTGGAAGGCAGGCATGCAGATCTCTGAGAATCTGAGGCTAGGCTTGGCATCATAGTAATTCCAGGCCAGCAAGTACTACAGAGTAAGAGCCCACTTAAAACAGAAAGAGGTCGGAAAGAAGCCTTGCTCTGAAGGATGTCTGTCCTTTTTAATTTCCTGATTGTTTATCATTTCAAAGTGTTTCCTATCTTTACTGTTTATGCAGACTCTTACTATCCCCTTAATCAAATCCTTCCTTTTCCTCAGGTTTGGGAGGAAGTTTGTTTTCACAGGTGCTTTACTGCTGATGGCCATGAGTGAAACCTGTGCAGCTGTGGCTCCCACCTTCCTCATCTACTGCACAGTTCGCTTCCTGGCAGGGATGTCCGCCTCATCCATGATGACAAACGGTGTTTTGCTCAGTAAGTCAATGCTTTTGATGGACATTGACCAAGCTCTGGGTTTGACCTGGATGTCCTGTCCAGCTTTCTTAGAAGTCAAACTTCATTTTATTTTCTTTCAGTTTTAGAATGGACAAGCCCTAAATTCCAAGCTTTGGTAATGGCACTGGCATTTTGTGCTGGGGGGATTGGACAGCTATTATTGGGAGGCCTGGCTTTTGCTATCCGAAACTGGCACCACCTCCAGCTGGCAATGTCTGTACCAATGTTCTTCTTCCTTATTCTCACAAGGTATGAGATTTCTTTCCTCTCTGTTATGGAGTCCAGGGATGGCAATGTACATGGGATCAGGACATAGGGGATGCATTTGTGCTTGGTCTACAAAAGACAGTGTGCACTCCTCTTTGTACTTCTGTGGCATGAGGACACGCAGCTCTTCAGATAAAACTGAGAAGGCTTAACTAACTTAAATCTAAGATAAGCGATAGGTTGTTTTATAAACTCACAATCATACATACATATGGTAAAAGACCTGCATTTCCTGACATGTACTCATTCTTTATTTGAAAGTTCTATTTACCTGTTAGTTCTGTGCTTTGTTTAATAACTGGAGAAAATACATGACATTTCAGGGTATTCATATTACTTAAAAATAATAAACACTTTCAGTGTTAGTATTTCAAAAGTAATGGATGTGGTACGTTAACAGTGTATATATATATATATATATATATATATATATATATATATATATGTACTGTTATTTTATTTACTAGAGAAAAAACACACCCAAAAGCAGAAATTATCATGAACCCTTATCAGAATGTTCTTGGCCTTTCTGTCTGTCTCTGCTACTAAGTCTAAATTATCCAGGCAGTAATAGAATAAACATTTCAAGATCATATTGCCTCTGTTACAGTTTGTATTTCTATGAGTGGTTTTGCAAACAAAAAAATGTTGAAAATTATGGTAAATTTTTAATAAAAAAGCATGTAAGGCAAGTTTATCTTCACAGCTGTTCAATGAAGGAAAATAATGGCTTCTCCAGTTTTAAGCTGTAGGCAGAGTGGCCCACTTCTCTCACTGGCTCTTTGGATTCCTTTGCTTTCCACTAAAAAGAAGAATTAAGAAGTGATATGATGCCATCAACAGAGGAGGCTCAACGGTCAGGAAAGACCATTCAATATTTATAGGTTGATACAGTGGGAAAAGTCCATACAGAAAAGAAGGAGAATCCTCTTTCAGGCTCTTCCACATCCTTTATCCTAATAGCATGGCCGACAAAACTGTGATGCTGCTGTAGCCAGGCAGTGGTGGTGCACACATTTATCTAATCCTAGCCCTTAGGAGGCAAGGTAGACAAAACTCTTCGTTCAAGGCCAGCCTGGTCTACAAAATGAGGTCCAGGACAGCCAAAGCTACACAGAGAAGCCCTGCCCCCCCCCCAAATTAAAACAGAAGACAGTTATGATGCTGCTGTACCCATTTTATAGATTAGAAATGAAGGCAGTGTTAACTTGCTTTTGTGACCAGAAAGCATTAGTTGCAAGGAGTAGGAATGACTTCGGTTTGAATGATAGAGTTAGTATACAAAAATTTATCCAGTGGTTCTTTTTAGTAAAAGAACAAAGCAGGAATAAATGTTTACCTTAACAAGAAATTTGGAAAATGTCTATACAAGTATCCTTCATGTTGCAGTTCTGTGAACTCCATATAAATACATATTTGGGTAAGAATGGGCAGAAAAATATAACTCCAGGTCTGCATTCTGGAAGTGCATGTATAAGGTATACATGAGTCATTTCCCATTTTCCTACTGAAGGCTAGACAGTGTAAGATTGTATTTATTAATATAACTGAATGAGTGAGTGGTAGGTATTAAATTAAAGAACATAACTGCTCAAGGAAAAAATGTAGTTTAAAATGACTGCTTGAGAATTATCTCACATCTAACATCTTGGGCAGGTGGCTGTCAGAGTCAGCTCGGTGGCTGATTGTGACCAACAAACCCCAGAAGGGCTTAAAGGAACTTAGAAGAGTTGCACACATAAATGGAATGAAGAGTTCTGAAGATGTCCTAACCATAGAGGTGAGCATAATGGAAGCTTGTTAACACACACACACACACACACACACCACAAGTTTGACATTCACATGAGTTAGTGCCTGAGATGCAATGTGTGGTCACTAAAAACACTTCATAAGGATGTTTCATTCAAACAGAATTCAAGTCACAATGGCAGGGGTACGTGCCTTTAATCCCAACACTTGGGAGGCAGAGGCAGTGAGTTTGACAACAGCCTGGTCTACAGAGTGAGTTCCAGGACAGTCAAAGCTACACAGAGAAACCCTGTCCTGAAAACCAAAAGAAAATTTAAATCACTTGTTTTTCTTCATTTTGTTTCTTGAATTCTGTGCTGGTTACTTTTTTGTTATCACAACCTAAGGTCATCTGGGAAGAGGGACTCTGAAATGAGAAAATGCTTATGTCAAATTGGCCTGTAGGCAAGCCCATGGGGCTCTTTCTTGATCAATGATTGATGTGGGAGGGCCTAGCCCCCTGTGTATGGTGTCGCCCCTGAGTAGGCAGTTCTGTGTTATATAAGAACGCGAGCTGAGAGAATCAAAGAGAGTGACCCAGTAAGTAGCATTCCTCGTGGCCTTTTTTTTGTTTGGTTGGTTTGGTTTGGCTTTTGGTTTTTCTTTTTTAGGACCAGGTTTCTCTGTAGCTTTGGAACCTGTTCTGGAACTAGCTCTTGTAGACCAGGCTGGCCCCAAAATCACAGCGAACCGCCTGCCTCTGCCTACTGAGTACTGGGATTAAAGGCGTGAGACATCATCACCCAGCGTCTTTTCTTTTTCAAGTTGCAACCTCAAGTTCCTACCCTGACTTGCTGCATGGTATACCATAAGCTGTAAGATGAAATAAACCCTTTCCTTCCCAATTGCTTTTGGTCAGGGTGTTTATCACAGCAACAAAAAGCAAACCAGAGCAACTTCAATTTTTAGAAATTCTCTATGGGATTTCATTTTCTTTCACTTTTTATTGCAATGTATTGGTTCTATGTTGTATTGGTTTTCGTGACCACTTCTCACATGTACATGGTGTGTTTTTATCACTTTCCGTCATTTTCATGCCAACTGTGTTCTTCCCCTCACATTTCCACTGAGGCCTTCCTCTTCCCAATAAGTCCTGCTTCTACTTTCTCTCTCTCTCTCTCTCTCTCTCTCTCTCTCTCTCTCTCTCTCTCTCTCTCTCTCTCTTTCTCTCTGAACAAGTAATTTTAATTTAAGTTTCTTACAGAAACATTGTGAATTGATATGATTTAACTACAATGGCTTGAGCACCTTAACACCTGACTATGCCACTGAAGAAAATGTGTCTCCTCCCAGCAACCATTAACTGTAACTCCCGATACATCCTCACGAGGGATTTGTGAGCCTTTCCTAATTAGCCAACTTCCTGTAAATCCTTAAGGAGAGGCAGGGCTTCTCTACTCCTCTACTCTCCATAATGGAATTTGATGGGCCACTCCCTTGTGGCTAAAACTCACGGGCCATATCAAGGCCAGAAGACAATGCTACACATCACTCTACCCTTTCAATTGCCTTTTACCTTCTCTCTTTCCCCACGTTCACAGTGTTCACTGAACTTTGGAACTCACAGACAGACAGACAGACAGACAGACAGACAGACAGACAGAAATATCCCATTTATGGCTAAATTAAGAACAGTAGCATATTCTCAGCACACTGACCAGTTACGACCTTGCAGTAACTGCCACAAACTGCAGGAAAAGAAGCTTTTCTGACCAAACCATTAATCTATAGAAATTAACAAAAATATCTGGAAGGTGCTTCAGTTGGGATACCATCTCTATTTGGCAAAATACCCATAGAAGTTTCCCCATGAAGGTCTGTGATATTGACAGTCGTGGGCTTTTGACAGGGATTAAAGTGCCCATGTAAATTCCCTCTTGTCAGCAATCCTCAAATATTGGTTACCACACAACAGTAAAATCACTGCTACGCTGTGATTACAACTTGCCAAGGAATGGTCAGGCAGGCAGCACAACCATCCACAGCCGAGCACAACTACAGTGACAATTCTCCAGGGCAGCCCACATAGCGGCTTCTGACACTTTGGAAGCTAGGCAGCAGGGAGGAAGTTTCCAAATCTCTTCTAGCTTGAATTCCTCTGTGTCCTGCAACCAAAGCACACAGTGTACCTAGTAACAGGTCCTTGGCATTAGCTCTGTTGGGAAATGTCAATGAAATTGTATGATTGTTGCTATTAATTATAAATGTGAAAATAGCTAGAATGTCCTACAAGGTAAGTTCTGAAAGATTCCTGTGTTTGACAATTTTGATTAGGTTAGCCACTTGGAATAATAGATCTCAGGATTATCTTAACTGAATTAATTAGGTTAACTAACGTCCAAAAACTGACAGCACGTTTCTTTGGTTTGGGTCCCCAATTACATAAAAAGGAGGAATCTATCACATATGCAAATGCAGTATGATCAGATACCGCGTCAATTTCCTGCTGCCATGATTTTCCCATCATAAAAGACTACACTCTCAAACTGTGATCCCAGATAAACCCTTCTTTTATGTGTCTTATGTTTCTTTTGTTGGAGTATCTTATCAGAGCATCAGGAAAAGTAAGTCTTACAGAAAATAGTACCAAGAGATCAACAGGCCATTCTGGTGGGACCTGGGAAAGCAAGAAAGCTGAAACACATACGAACAGTGGAGAGAGACTCAGGAGGTTTCAGAAGTAAACAGGGACTGTATCCACAAGGAGGGTAGGTGCCCTTCGTGAGATTAATTTCACCAAGACTCTGGCTTCATTCTGCCCATATCCTGAGAATATGCATAAAGTGAAACTTAAAAATATGAATAAGTATGTTTGATGGAGAAAATTTCACAACAGGTGACCATTCCAGACTATTGTGTGCCTACTGCATTGTACAAGTCTGAAGTGGAGCAAAAGAAAGGTTGAGCAATTTGTCAAGAAGCAAAGAAATCAAGAAATTTAAACTTTGAAACACATGCATGTTCTGAAAAGAGAAGCTGAAATTGTTAAATAGCATCCTGTTGTATCTGGAACAGGGGAAAACATATCCTAAGGTCGAAACCCTACATACAGACTCCCACCTGCGAAACTTCAAGCTTATTAAAAAGCACAATTCTTGACCCGATGACACAGTTGACAGGATTCTCTGCTCCCCAAAGCGACTGCCTAGTAAGCCATTTCCCCAGGATGAACGTATGGAAGCAGACACAACTGCAGTCCAAGAAGGTTCAACTCCATCCTTAGTTGGTAACAGTACTTGGCAGCATGACCCATGTAGCGGTGTCTTTGCAGATATTAAGGATGCAAGATAGAATCGTCTATGGTGTTTTGCTCCGCACTTGTGGGTAACAGAGAAAGTCAGACAGTTGTGTGGCAGAGGTAGAGTTACAGCAATGTGACTTTGACAGGTCATTGCATGAATTTGTGAAGGTGAAACTAAACTGAAACATAGATGCAAAGATATTGTATCTGAATGACGGGAAGACTGCCTACAAACTTAAGATAGAAATTAATATAAACTTATTATAAACAATATACAGCTGGAGGTGTGGCATCATCTAACCCCTTCAAAACTAAATCCTGGACATTGGACATGGAGCTATAGGATTTGATGTTTTCCTGCTGGGTTTGGGTCTTGCTTTGGTCAATTACTTCCTCACTATGCCCCTATTCTTATCTTTTGTAATGGGAATATATACTGTGTGCTATTGTGCTTATATGTAATGTTTTAGTTTCTGCAAGGGGTCACAGTTAAGACATTGCCTTGAGTTCCAGAAGAAGCCCTAAACTTCGGAAGAATGTTGGGAATGTTAAAGGCTAGGGGGATTTTTGAAGTAGTAAATGTATTTTGCACCATGAGCTTGTCATGAGCTTATGGAGACAAGGGCCATGTTGCGGTTTCAAAACAAGCTAGGCCCTCTGAATGCGGGTGACATTTGTGTGGTTGGGGTAGTCTCTAGGGCTACTGGCAGTGGGACCAGGACTTAGCTCTAGTGCTTGAACTAGCTTTTTAAAACCCATTTTCTTTAGAGGGGTACCTTGTTCAGCCTAGATATGGGGGGAGGGCCATGGTCCTGCCTCAAAGTGATGTGCCAGACTTTGTTGAGTTCCAGTAGGAAACCTTACCCTCTCAGAGGAGTAGGAGAAGGAGGGAGTGGGATCTGAGATTGGTATCTAAAATGAGGGAAGACTGTTTTAAAATAAAAAATAAATTAATTAAATGAACAAGTGAATGAGGGGAAAATGTGCCCTATATGTTCATGTGTCTGAACACTTGATCCCCAGCTGTTACCAATATTCATGAAGGATAGGACATTTAGGTGGACTTTCCTGAGGGAAGGAAGACACTGGCTTTAGACTTCATTGATTGGTCCCACTTGCTGATCTCTCTTTGTTTCCTGTGTGCAGGTGCAGTGTGCTTACCCAATTTCCTGCCCGTGCCTCCATGTCTTCCCTGGCTTATACCATGTCTTCCTTACCATGATGGTCTCTGACACACTGGAACTGTAATATAAAATAAACCTCCCTTGAGTTAGCAGGGTATTTGTCATAGTGACAGAAAAGAAACCAACAGAGTCATCATAGGCTTGTGACGCGTGGCCTTTACAGTGTTGAGACGTGGTCCGTCCATTCCTAGCCTCTCCATGACTTTGATCCTAAAGGGATAGTGGGGTTTGCTGAATATGTTTTCTGCATCTTTTAAGATAATTATGTGATTTCTGTCTTGAGTCCATTTATATAATCATATTTATTAATTTATCTGTGTTGAAACTTCCCTGAATCTCTGAAGCCAACTTAATCATAATGATTTTTATTTTATTTTTTTATTGATTTTTATTGAGCTCCACATTTTTCTCTGCTCCCCTCCCTGACTCTCTCCTCCTTTTCAACCTTCCCCCAAGGTCCCCATGCTCCCAATTTACTCAGGAGATCTTATCTTTTTCTGCTACCCATGTAGATTAGATCTATGATCTCTTAGGGTCCTCATTGTTGTCTAGGTTGTCTGGGATTGTGATTTTTGAGCTGGTTTTCTTTGTTTTATATTTAAAATGAGGGAAGACTGTTTTAAAATAAAAAATAAATAAATTAAGTGAACAAGTGAATGAGGGGAAAATGTCCACTATATGTTCATGTGTCTGAACACTTGAGTGAGTACATGTGATAATTGTCTTTCTGGCTCTGGGTTATCTCACTCAAAATGATGTTTTCTAGCTCCACCCGTTTTCCTGCAAAATTCATGTTCTTTTTTTCTGCTGTGTAGTACTCCATTGTGTAAATGTACCACATTTTCCTCATCTGTTCTTCGGTTGAGGAGCATTTAGGTTGTTTCCAGGTTCTGGCTATGACAAGCAATGCTGCTATGAACATAGTTGAGCATATGTCCTTGTGGCACGACATAATGAATTTTTTAATTCTGTTGGCCAGAATTAAAATTGTTTTGTTTTGTTGATAAGGTTTTGACATCAGGGACATACTAGATTCATAAAAAAGATGGTAAGCCTTCTTTTCTCTTCTATTTTGTGGAATAATTTGAACAATGTTGGTGTTAGATTTCTTTGAATGTTGGGAATTCTACAGTGAACCCAAGTGAATCTTGCAGTTTATATATCTGTTTAAGTTATTCATTTTATCTTATTTTAATTTTGGTAGGCCATATGCATCTATAATTTCACCCATTTTTTAGATTCTGTAATTTGGTAATATATTGGCTTTGTGTTATGTCATTATGATTTTCTGAGTTTTATTAGCATTTGTTTAGTGTTTCCCTTTTATCTCTAGCTTTATTAATTGTTTAATTAACTCTTTTCATTAACATGACTAGGAGCTCATCAGTCTTATTTATCTTCTCAAAGAACCAACATTTAGCTTCACTGATTCTTTGTACTATTATTTTAATATTATTCATTAATTTCTGCTCTGATATTAGTTACTTCTCCCCATCTATTAATTTGGGGTTTGTATTGTTCTTTTTTACCAAGGCTTTAAACTCTTTATTTGAGATTTATCAAAAACATTATGGGTATCTCAGGCTATAAACTTTCTTCTCAAGTCTGTCTTTATAATGCCCCATAGATTTGGTAAGTTCTATGTTCATTTTTGTTCAATTCTAGGAACCCTTTATTTCTTTCTTAATGTCGTCAGTGACTCACTTGTCATTCAACGGTGTGTTATTTAATCTTCATGAATTAGTATGTCTTCTGTGCTGTTTCTTGCTACTGATTTCTAGCTTTATTCCATTGTGGTCGGTTAGAACACAGGGTATTACTTCAATATTACTGTTTGCTGCAGCTTACTTTGGACTCTAGCATGTTGCTTATTTTGGACAAGACTCCAAGAGCTGTTGTGGAGAATAGATAGTCATTGGTGTTTAAGTGGAAAGCTCCTCAGATGTCTGTTAGGTTCTTTTGGTTTTGGATATTTCAGCTTAAATGTCAAGAAGAGTTGTTAGGCTGACTTTTGAAGATGGCTCAGGAGAACAGTGCCAAAAGCGGAGCTGGTGCTGAGTTGGGATTGCTTACTGGGCTTGAGCCTATTTTATGGGGGTACAAAGACCACACAGAGATCAGAGGAACTGCACAGGACAAGTTAATGGTAGGGGTTAGGAAGTTCACAAGAGTCAGAGAACCACACAGAATGATTTTCTAGATCATTCTATCTGGATTTGGGGTAGGCAAGGCCCACATCTCAGCAGGAACAAAAGAACTCATCATATTCAGTGGAATCTTATGAAATCTCATGAGCCAGGCCTTCACTATTCATGTTTTTACCAGGATTCTAATCTCCAGAACTTCCACCAGCATCATCCATTGAGTTCTGCTTACAGCATTCTAGTCTCTTTACCTGTGTCAACACTCTTCCACATCCCTCCAACAAACAACTTATAATATCATCCTCCAACTTAATTTTAGACATGCTACTTGAGGTACAGCGTGTTGTGATATGCTTCAAAATATAACAAACCCAAAATGAAAATATATACTCCCTACAAAGAATTAATTCTCCTGAGACTATTTTTTTCTTTTGAAGGGGTTTGAGGTGTGGGTTTAGTCAGAGACACACTATTTACCCTTCTGCCTCTGCCTCCTGAGTTCCGTGGTTAAAGGAGTAAACAACAGTGCCCAGCCTGAGACTATTTTGTTCGTTCATTAAAATCGAGTGGATTTCCCCCCTTTGTGTTAGCATGCTTACTGGTGTCGCCCTTGTTCATATTTTGTTAAAGCAGCCACGTTGATGAGACTTCATGTAGTTTCTCTGACATATCTAGAAGACAAAAATCTCACAGAAAACTTTCTGTTTCTCTTGCTTTTACAACCTTTCTACTAATGGAAAGGGGAAATTCCAAGGAACCTCAACCACAGAGAATTTCAGCAACTCAGGAATCTGTGAGCAAGAGAGTTCCTTGGGAAGTGGCCCAAATTGGTTATCTAATGACAAGCAGTCATCTCTGAAATCATACATACACAAATAACATTATAAAGACTGAGCAGATTGTATTCATATATTTAGGGGTGTGTGTGTGTGTAATTAAAGAAATAGAAACCACATATTTGAGACAGAGCAGGGTAGGTTGCATAGGATGGGATGGAGGGAGGAAAGGAAAGGGTGAAATTATGTAATTATATTTTTCTTTCAAAAAGCTTTTAAAGTACCAGATGCCATGCCATGCAAATTCATACGCTATATGTGGAATGTGGGACCATATTCTAAATAACTTTTCACTTGTTTTCCTCCCTAATCTGTGTCTCTAACCTATAACTCCCTTTCTGTTACCTACATCCAACTATAGTCTCCTACTTAACATGTTCTCCCTGTAGAAATGTCTGAGTTTCCTTTCACTACTGGGCTCACACTTCTCACCACTTCTTTCTATGCCTGTCATTGTTTTTTGATGTCTATATATTGTTCACTAGACAGGAACAATAAGTATTGATCTTCTGTAGGTTACCAGCATGCCTCACAATGTTTATCATTTCGTGACAACAGTTTGTTGATGTTGTTGAAGGTTGTGAGAAACACCATGAAAGATGAACTGGAGGCAGCACAGACAAAACATTCCCTGTTGGACTTGTTCCGTACACCCAACCTACGTAAGCGGGTCTGTCTCCTGTGCTTTGTGAGGTGGGTGTCACACAGATACTCTGAAAATGATGTGGTGGTGGCTCACACTTTTAACTCCATACTCAGGAGGCAGATGTAGGTGGATCTCTATGAGTTTGAAGCCAGCCTGGTCTACATATAGAGAGTTCAAGGCCAGCCAAGGCTGTGTATGTATTGAGACCCTGTCTCAAAAACAGTGTAGACATTAATCTTCTTATTAACAGACTTGGAGATAAGTGCTGAGGAACTTCTACAGCTGAGGGAATCCAAAGGGTTTGGACTATACTAACACAGAGTCAACTGTGCTGTGAGGAGTGTTTATCCAATCACTGTCAAGGTTCACTATCAGAAACCATTGCTTAGAATTCCAGTCACGGAGAAACTTGAAATCTAAGCTTCCTCATGTGTTTGTTCCCATTTCAAAGGAGATAAAACTTCAAGGTTCAACTACATAACTGTATCCACATTAATGGGTATCTACAGATATGAAGAACGTTCATTCAGATCAAGATGTAAGAAAACTCTAAAACCCTGAATGAGCCCAGCTTGTATCCCAAGAATTCCCTAACGTCTTAAAAAGTTGAAGAGTGATGATATGTTTCCTCCATCATAGAATGTTTTTGTGATTACAACATTATCTCCCACATGCAAATTTTCCAGAAGACAGCTGCCTCAATAATTTAGCAACTAAAATGAGCTGCCTGAGATAACTATAATGTGTTGAGCAACCACTCCAAACCTTATGATGTGACTTTCTTCTTTGTTCTCTGCAGATTTGTGTCATTGATCCCTGCTTTGGGTCTGCTTATCCACTTCCAATACCTGAGCAGTAACGTGTTCCTACTGCAGTGTCTCTATGGTGTAGTATCCATCCCAGCCAATGTGCTTGGGAATTTTTCAGCGAACCACATGGGCCGCAGAATAACCCAAATGATTTTCATGTCTCTGATGGGAATCTCCATTTTGACCATCATATTTTTGCCTCGAGGTGAGAAAAGAACACAGGATGAGCAAAGAAAATACATTCATCCTTTTCTCAGGATTTGTCATATCCTACCCCTTTTCTCAGGATTTGTCATATCCTACCTGTAAGAAGTTGGGGAGAAAGGCACTCTATAGATTTGCTGTAGGCAGTCCAGGCCTTTAGAACACATTATTCTATTAAGATATTGGGATAACAGCTAAAATTTCAGTAAAATTTGGTTCAGATATTTGTCTTTGTTGCATGGAAGAAGCATCTGATACATTTATACCCAAATGTGTTTAGGTCAACAATGGATCAGTCATTGGTGAATTATAATTTTCATAGAAATTATGTAATTTTGACCAAAGCACACTGTAACTTCGTCTGCCCCACAGGATCTCATTACTTTTGTTTCAGTGACAATTTATTTCCTGAATGGTGTATGTCTACTCATAACTCTCACATAATATCACCATGAACCCAAACCTAGGTCGGAGAGTTGTCTCTAGAAAAGAGGCATATCATTTGCACTGAAGCTCAAAAGAAGGGCAAAGAAGTAGTAATGGACTAAATCACAAGACTGTTAAAATTCAGTTCGTTGAGTTAAATGAATGTATGCAAGAAGGAAATGACCAGGTGGTCACCAAACTTTGCTGAAATCCAGGACTATGGCACGTTTCATAAAATTCCAAAACAGCAGTGTTGATGCCTAAATGTTATCAGTGATGTCAGTTTTCTGCCTTACCTCGAGAAATACTCCAACATGTAAAGCTTTCATGAGCCTTTTTCAAAATTTATTTTATTTTATGTGTATGAGTGTTTTGCCTGCATGCCTGTATATGTTCCGCATGTGCCTGGTGTCCACAGAGGCCAGAAGAGGGCATCAGAACCACTGGAAACTAAACACAGATAGCTGTAAGATACCATGTGGGTACTTGGGAATCAAACCCTCATGAGACTTTTTAAATTGAGTGGCAATTGACCCTATGAATGGTTTTTCAACTTTGACAGTTTTCCTAGCAAGAGTACTTATAAGTACTCAGACGCTATTCCAAATCAAGCCAGTCCCCAACTGGCACACCACTGTAGACTTTCTGTCTTTCCACTCCTCTGTAATATTGCACACAGGTCATAGATGTAAATACTGTGTGTTTCTGAATGAGTTGCTAGTTCTCCATTATTTTCTCCGTGACAGTCCTGCATCCTGCATGAAGGATTGCTGAAACCCGACAAAGAAAGGGCGGATGTGATTTCCTGCATCTGCCGGGCTCTCTACTTTGTTGTTGTTGTTGTTGTTGTTGTTGAACACAGTGTTTCTCTGTATTTTGGAGCCTTTCCTGGAACTTGCTCCATAGACCAGGCTGGCCTCGAACTCACAGAGATCTGCCTGTCTCTGCCTCCCAAGGGCTGGGATTAAAGGCCTGTGCCACCACCACCGCCCTGCTGCTCTCTGCTTCTTATCCAAATATCAGAGATACGACATCTAATTTTTTCAGAAGCTCTTCTTCATTATAAATCAATATATGCAAATATGTCATCTTGTAGCTTATAGCTACTGACCATTTATACCTCTGCAGCCTCCCTCAACTATATTTTAGATCTATGACAAGCTTCCAACAAAATTATATTCCATTTAGGGTTGGGAGCTGCAGATTCGTGCATTCTGCTTTATCTGTCTGTCTCACTTGACTGTCGCTGGTCTTCCTCTATCCAGAAATGCAGACCCTGCGTACAGTTTTGGCAACACTTGGAGGAGCAATTTCTTCTGCCTCTGTAACAAGTACTCTTGTGCATGCAAATGAGCTTGTCCCCACTGTAATCAGGTATGACTCAAGCACGGTCAGAGCAGATTTTTCTCAGTTCATTCACTAAGAACAAGAAACAGAAAAACTTCTGGGTAGTTAAGCAATCAGTTGTGATGACAACAGGAATGGCCACAGTGTCCTCAAAGGTTACTTTTTGGCAGATAGATTCAAGTCCAATGTAACACTAACCAGCATCTCCTGTACAACTTGGAATCACATAGAAAAAGGCAGCTGCCAAGAGAAATACAACTTTTAAATATTTTATTTTTCATTGCATGCATTTTTGTATTTTTATGATTTCATGCAGGTATGATGACACTCACTCCCCATTATCTTCCTTCTCTTATCTCTGCCCACTCTTGCTAACTCCTTCCACACTGATCTACCTCCTATACTCATGTCTGTTTTATTAAGCTGCATGTCTTTTAACTAGTATAAAAAACTTGTGCTTCAATATAAAATTTTCAGATCTATGTTTTTATCCATCTAACTCCTCTGTCCCTCTGTGCCCACTTCCATTTCCAGTCCATGCCTCAGTACCCCTTCTCCTTTCATGTCACCTACATTACTATAACTCTCTCTCTCTCCACTAAGACCTTCTCCTCCCCTCTTACGACCACTTTTTCTAGTTTCACAGTCTATACCCAGACCCCACCCATGTGTATGCACACATGAAAGGTGTAGTATACAACTCTGACAGAAAGCATGCACTCTTCATCCTCTATAGCATGTCTTATTGTAAATGGTAGACAAATATCTTAATACTCTGGCCTTGACAAAAAGATAGCACCAAATGAAACAGAAATTTGAAAGTCAAGAATAAGTCACCAGCATCCTTACATCAATTACGCTGTGTATTGACTTGTAACTAATGTGAGATGCAAACTCACACATTCTGTGTGTAGAGTGTCTAGATTATTTCTGATTTACACTTTCTACCCCAAGGGCAACTGCTCTGGGAGTCATTGGAATTGCTGGTAGTGCTGGGGCAGCCCTGTCTCCCCTGTTTATGATCCTCACGGTGTACTCTGCCAACTTGCCCTGGATCATCTATGGAGTCCTCGCCATCCTCGGTGGCCTTGTTGCCCTTCTCCTTCCTGAGACCAAGAATCAGCCTCTGCCTGACTCCATCCAAGATGTGGAAAATGAGTGAGTAACACCTCTACTTCCCCTTAGGGGACTTGTGTGTCCGTGGTCCGTGATGAGGAAGGTGAATGGGAATGCAGGGTCAGTCTCTCCCTGGCGAGCGACAACTAGGTTTTTTCACATATGGTCATTGGCATTGGCATAGGGGCCCTTTGTACATCCCTTTATATAGGGATTTCATACGTGCCTGGAAACTCTACACCACAAGAACCAACTCTGACCAGGTGGTGCTAGAAGATTAATGATAAATAGGACAAGTTCATGTGTCCTCTGTTTTACTCTGACTCATTATGAAACACGTATCTTGACAAGTTCATGTACCTTCTGTCTACTTTGCCCCCATTATAAAGCACATATCCTTGAATATATTTCACAATCACACACAAATATAAAGGGCATTTCATCCTTCAGACCAGTGAGTGCTGGTAAGCTTTCTAAAACTAAGTCTCTATAGACTTAGGATATGACAGTCACTACCTAACCTACAGACTATACTCAAACTGAAGAATCTGCCACCCATGAGAATGTATCTGAGGGAAGGACACGTGTTTGCTGTGAGATTCAGAAAATATTTGTTCCACTGGGAATAAAATGTTCATGTCAGAGAAAATGGAATAGTCAATAAAATGATTACAAAAAGAAGAGGGAAGGATTTTAAAACTTTGGTGTGATTCCCATGTGTTCTCCTAAAACTCATCTGAGAACACCATGCTAACCAAAGTAGGAGGAGTCAGAGCTACCTCACAGAGGTTCCCAGGGAGTTCAGTCTTCTAATCACAAGATTTATTCCAATATTTTGTGAAGAACCATAGCTTTTCCCAACACTGATGGGCAAAGGATGAAGCTGCTCTAAAGGACACAGGGATATCCTTCTTCTCTGTGTCCTTTCCCATTGTTTTTGTTTATGGTGTCTGTTGTATTTGTTCCAGGAGGAAAAGCTCAAGAGAGGCAAAGAAGGACGCTGTCACCAAGGTGACACCATTTTAAAGAATTTCAACAACTGACCTCTGATCAAGAAGAAAAACAAAGAAAAATGTCATTCAGGATACGGTGTCCCAGGATTGTTCTTAAATGTTAGCAAAACTTTTCCCGATAAACCATATGTATAAATAGTGAACTAAATTAAAATTATAGCAGTTTACCATATATAAAGTAACTATAATAAATCACAGCAAGAAATTTAAAGAAAGTAATACTATATTGAAGAAACTCTGGCCCAAATTTTCTACAGTCAGTGAGACCAATCAAGTTTCTGGATAGAATGTGGACCGGTGATGTGTGGCAGTTTCATGGAACTGAAACTTGGAGTTCTTCCCTCTAGGTCTTGGAGTCTAAGAGGTCAGGGAGGGGATACCTCATGAGATTCATTAGTTAAACAAAAGTTCACATGTCTGGAAATTTGAGGATTCTGGAAAGCCCGTATCTAGCTTTATATAAGGAGTAACCAGTACGGGAGGAGCGCGAGCAGTCAAGCTTCAGAGGAGATATTATTCACTACCAGGAGGTCGTACATACAACATACATACAAGTAACATTATACAGACTGAGCAGGTTGTGTTTGTGGTGTATGGAGCAACGATGAAAGAAATGGGGAGATCAGAAAGGGTTCATGGGAACTGTAGGAGGGAGGCAACAAAAGGGGTAAATGATGTAAATACATTTTAATTTCTAAAAAAAATATAAATATTTTTTAAAACTTTAAATCCAGCTTACATCTGTGAGGTCAGCTCCTCAGTGAGCCTTGAGTTGAAGAATATGAAGGACTGATTCTTTTAAGGATAGCTAATGAGATGTGTGAGAAATGCCAGAAAATCAAGCAGATAAAATTTTTGAGACAGGGACTCACTAGGCAGCCCTGACTGGCTTGGAACTCATTATGTAGACCAATCTACCTGCCTCTCCTCCCCAAGTGGCAGGATTAAAGGTATGAGCCATCATGTCTGGCCACAAACAGATAATTTTTTAGTGACTGAAAATGCAAAAATGAAAGGGATGGTGTTTCATGGAGGGGGGTGGAGGGAGAGAAAAGAAGAGGGTCTCAAAAAATACTTTTGCTGAGAGAAAAAAAACAGGCATATTTTTATTGATTTTATTGAGCTCTACATTTTTCTCTGCTCCCTCCCTTCCTCTCCCCTCCCCTTCAATCCTTTCCCATGGTCCCCATGCTCCTAATTTATTCAGGAGATCTTGCCATTCTTAAAAACCATACCTCTTTTTGGTTTAATAATTATTTTAAGTAGTAGTCCGTATTAAACCAAAAGACTCTAAATTTAATTCAGAGAGAAAGAGCATAATTTGGCACCCTCCTGTTGATCATACAGACCATCCCCCACCGCCCTTCCCTTGCCATCTCATAGTCGCTGTCCTGACCCAAACCCGGGCAGGTGGGCACCCCTGCTCAACCTCAGATAACGCCTGCCAGTAGACCAGACAAGCTGCCCAGGTACCTCCCCCACTTTCTCTGTTCCCTCAGACCCAATTCTCAGGTCACCCCTAGTGCAACAACAGAACACCATGGGCAACTTCTCCCCAAAATCCATGCCTCCTATGGATTCCTCAGACCATCTACCCTTTCCTCCTGTTATCCCAGCCTCCAACACCAGCAAGCACTCCTTGTGAACACACCAATCAAGTAGGCCAGAAATTAGGCAACAGTCTGTCAACACGCTCTCTGAAAATGCAGAAAGGAAACAGAAACAAAGGAACAAAACACCCACCCAACCAAGACAAACCCACAAGTCAGCACCTAAACTATACATACCTAATCCAGATGCCAGGTTGCCAGTATAAAGACACAATAACAGCTGGAGCAGTATGTCTCTACCAGAGCCCAGTTTTCCGACCACAGCAGATTCCGAGTATGTCAGCACAGCTGAAGCACAAGAAAAAGACCTTAAAACCAACTATATGGAGATTAAAATAGAGGTCCTTAAAGAGAAAATTAATAAATCTCTTAAAGAAATCCAGGAAAACACAAACAAACAATTGGAGGAAATTAATAAATCCCTTAAAGGAAGCCAAGAAAAAACAACAAACACTTGAAGAAAACAAAAAGAACAGTCTGGAGTCCAGCTCCCAGAACTGCACCCAGGGTTACAGAAAGAATGCCTTCAGAGCAGCGGGGCTTAGGAAACATTTTTATCTGAGGGCTTCGGGAGTACGCTTCTATCTATCCGAGGGGGAAAGACTCACATATACAATCTGAGGGTTCTGTTCTTTACATCCAGCTCTTGTTCTCTTGTTCCAATTCTCATGTTTCAATTCCCTCTAGCTTCTTTGTTCACCGTGTGTGTGTGTGTGTGTGTGTGTGTGTGTGTGTGTGTGTGTGTGTGTTCAACAACAAACTTCTTTAACTAAAAAGATTACAAACGCTACACCTGAGGGGAGTCTCAATGCCTGGCTTCAAGGTTCCCGGAGTACGGGCTGTGACCTGAGGCAGGAGCATAGTGCCTAGAGAGACAAGCTGCTGAGGAATTAGTGCAGGGAGTAAGTCTTTATTAGCCAGACATGGCAAGAGAGACAGGCATTGAGGAGCATCTCAAATCTAAAGATACATTTTCTATCCTGCGTGTAATCTCAGAACACAAGGCTGTAAGGCCAGGCCACTCTCCATAGCCCTGGCTGTCTGTGCAACCTTTCCCACAGAGACTGGCGTAAAGCCATTTCCCTCCAGGCTGGTTAATTAGCTAATTGGTTAATTGCTTTTTCCTGCTATTCACAGAAACTCCAGGACTAAAACATAAACAGTTAGCTGAGCCTAGGATTCTGTGCCGTAGACTTAGGTTAGAGGTCCTTGCAGAGTGTTAATTGCTTAGGGAGTCTCCACAGTTCCGCCAGTCTGTGAGTTAGCAACTGGACCTGGCCACAGAAGCTGCGAGTGGTTTAGGCCCCTCTACGTCTAAAAGACTTCGATTAAACAAACCAGACATTCGCCTCTCTGTCCTTGAGAAAGTCGAACTTGCCATCAGTACACAGAGACTCTCAGTCTAACTGATTAGCTCTGTCGGTTTAACTACTTATTGAGAACAGGTTTCTAAGTTTCTCCCCATTTTGTTGAACAAAGGCTGAACTATGAAGGCCTTCTTTATTCACCAGAATTACACAGGGAAGAGAGAAGTGATCCTTCTGTCAGTACAGGAATAATGGTGCCCAAAACTGAGAAACACTGGAGCCCATTCTCTGCAGAGGGATACTTTGCTCAGCCTAGACACAGCAGGGAGGGCCTTGGTCCTGCCTCACAGCGATGTGCTAGACATTGTTGACTCCCCATGGGAATCCTTACCCTCTCTGAAGAGTGGATGGGGTGTGGGGTGGAGGGAAAGTGGGGGAAACAGGAGGAGGGGAGGGAGTGGGAACTGGGATTGGTATGTAAAATGAGAAAAGAATGCTTTAAAAGAAAAATAAAATAAATAAAATAAAAATAGAAAGCATGAGCTGTGGTGTACGTTGTGTACTGTGCACTGTAACAGATAGCCCATTCTTGGGATATTGGTAATGACAGAGACGTGCATGCATGAGAGCCAGGGGCAAATGAAGACAACTGTGCTTTCGGCTCAAGTTTGTTGTGAATCTCAAAGTGTTCTAAAACAGTCAAAAAGGTACAATTTTATTACAATTATTATTTTTATTTTTTATATTGAGCTATGTATTTTTCTCCACTCTCCTCTCTTTCTCCCCCTCCCCTTCTGCCCTCTCCCATGGTCCCCCAAGCGTCCAATTTACTCAGGAGATCTTGTCTTTTTATATTTTCCATGTCGATTAGATCCATGCATGTCTCTCTTAGAGTCCATTTTGTTGTCTGGGTTCTCTGGGAATGTGAATTGTAGACTGGTTTTTCTTTACTTTATGTCTAAAAGTCACTTATGAATAAGCATATATTGTATTTGTCTTTCTGGGTCCGACACAATATGATGTTTTCTAGATCCATCCATTTTCCCGCAAATTTCAAAATGTTCATTTTTTTCCCACTGTGTAGGACTTCATTGTGTAAATGTAACACATCTTCCTTATCCATTCTTCAGTCAAGGGGCATTTAGGTTGTTTCAGGTTCTGGCTATAACAAATCATGCTGCTATAAACATAGTTGAGCACATGTGGTATGATTGAGCATCCTTTGGGTATATTCCCAAAAGTAGTGTTGCTGGGTCTTGAGGAAGGTTGTTGCCTAATTTTCTGAGAAATCGCCATACTGATTTCCAAAGCAGCTGTACCAGTCTGTACTCCCACCAGCAATGGAGGAGTGTTCCCTTTACCCCACAACCTCTCCAGCATAAATTGTTATCAGTGTTTTTTTTACTTGGCCATTTTTACAGGTGATAAGATGGAATCTCAGAGTTGTTTTGATTTGCATTTCTCTGATGACTAAGGATGTTGAACATTTCCTTAAGTGTCTTTCAGCCATTTTAGCTTCCTCTGTTGAGAGTTCTCTGTTTAGGCCTATGCTCCATTATTTTTATTGGATTATTTGTTCTTTTGATAATCAATTTTTTGAGTTCTTTGTATATTTTGGAGATCAACCTTCTGCTTGATGTGGGGCTGTGGGGTTAATGAAGATCTTTTCCTATCCTGTAGGCTGTCATTTTGTCTTGTTGACCTGTCCTTTGCTTTACAGAAGCTTCTCAATTTCAGGAGGTCCCATTTATCAATTGATTCTCTCAGTGTCTGTGCTACTGGGGTTATATTTAGGAAGTGGTCTCCTGTGTCAATGCATTCAAGTGTACTCCCTACTTTCTTTTCTATGAAGTTCAGTGTGGTTAGTTTTATGTTGAAGTCTTTGATCCATTTGGACTTGAGTTTTGTGCATTGTGATTAATATGGATCTATTTTCATTCTTCTGCATGTTGATATCCAGTTATGCCAGCACCATTTATTGAATATGTTCTTTTTTCCATTTTATATTTTTTGCTTCTTTGTCAAAAATCAGGTGTTTATAGGTGTGTGGATTGAAGTCCAGGTCCTCAATTCAGTTCCATTGGTCCTCCTGTCTGTTTTTATGCCAATACCAGGCTGTTCTCACTACTATAGCTCTGTAGTAAAGTTTGAAGTCAGAAATTGTGATTCCTTCGCAAGTTCCTTTATTGTACAGAATTGTTTTGGCTAACCTGGGTTTTTTGATTTTCCATGTGAAGTTGAGTATTGTTCTTTCGAGGTCTGTGAAGAATTTTGGGAGATTTTGATGGGCATTGCATTGAATCTGTGGATTGCTTTTGGTAAAATAGCCATTTTTACTATGTTAATTCTACCTACCCAAGAGCATGAGAGATCTTTCCATTTTCTGGTGTCTTCTTCACTGTATTTTTTCAAAGACTTAAAGTTCTTGTCATACAGGTCTTCCACTTGTTTGGTTAGAATTGCCCTGAGATATTTTATGTTATGTATGGCTATTGTGAAGGATGATGCTTCTTTGATTTCTTTCTCAGTCCATTTATCATCTGTGTAAAGGAGGGCAACTGATTTTTTTGAGTTAATCTTGTATCCCTGCTACATCACTAAAGATAATTACATTACTAAAGGTAGAACTTCCTTGGCAGAATTTTTGAGGTCACTTATGTAAACAATCATATGATCAGCAAATAGTGAGAGTTTGACTTCTTTTCTGATTTGTATTCTCTTGAACGCCTTTTGTTGTCTTATTATTCTAGCTAGAACTTCAAGCCCTATATTGAGTAGATATGGAGAGAGTGGAGAACCTTGTCTTGTTCCTGGTTGCAGTGGGATCACTTTGACTTTTTCTCCAGTTAGTTTGATGTTGGCTGTTGACTTGCTGTATGCTGCCTTTATTATGTTTAGGTATATTCCTTGTATCCCTACTCTTTCTAAGACCTTTATCATGAAAGAGTGTTGTATTTTGTCAAAGACTTTCTCAGCAGGTCATGTGTTTTTTTTCAGTTTGTTTATATGGTAGATTACAATGACAGATTTTAGTATGTTTAATTATCCCTGCATCTCTGGGATGAAGCCTACTTGATCAGAGTGGATAATTTTTCTGATGTGTTCTTGGATTCAGTTTGCCAGTATTTTATTTAGTATTTTTGCATCAATGTTCATGAGATTTGTCTGTAACTCTTTCTTAGTCATGTCTTTATGTGGTTTGAGTATCAGGGTAATGGTAGCCTCATAAAAAGAGTTTGGCAATGTTCCTTCTGTTTCTATTGTGTGGGACAATTTGAGGAGTATTAGTATTAGCTCTTTGAAAATCTTGTAGAACCTGCATTGAAACGATCTGGTCCTTGGCTTTTATGAGATGGGAGATTTTTGATGACTGTTTCTATTTCTTTAGCAATTATAGGTCAATTATAGGTTATCTGGTCTTGATTTAATTTTGGTAAGTGATATTAGTCCAGAAAATTGTTGATTTCCTTTAAGTTTTCCAATTTTGTGGGGTACAGGTTTTTGACACATGGCCTAACGATCCTCTGGATTTCCTCCATGTCTGTTGTTATATCTACCTTTTCATTTCTGATTTTGTTAATTTGGATTTTCCCTCTCTGCATTTTGATTAGTTTGAATAAAGGTTTGTCTATTTTGTTGATTTTCTCAAAGAACCAACTCTTGGTCTCATTGATTATTTGTATTATTTTCTTTATTTCTATTTTGTTGATTTCAGCTCTCAATTTGATTATTTCGTGTCTTCTACTCCTCCTGGGTGAGTTTGCTTCTTTTTCTTCTAGTTTTCAGGTGCTCTGTTAACTCATTAGGGTGGGATTTTTCCAGCTTCTTTATGTAGGCATTTAGTGCTATGAACTTTTCTCTTAACACTACTTTAATTGTGTCCCATAAATCTGGGTATGTTGTGTAGTCATTTTTGTTGAATTTTAGGAAGTCTTTAGTTTTTTTTCTTTAATTCTTTCTTGACACATTGGTGATTCAGGAGAACACTGTTTAATTTCCATGTGTTTGTGGGCTTTCTGAAAATAGTGTTGAATTCTAATTTTAAGCCATGGTGATCTGATAAGATACATGGAGTTATTCCAATTTTTTTGTATCTGTGGAGGTTTGCTTTGTTACCTAGTATGTGGTCACTTTTTGAGAAGATTCCATGGGGTGCCGAGAAGAACGTATATTCTTTTATGTTTGGATAGAATATTCTATAGCTGTCTGTTAAGTCCATTTGAGTCATAACATCTCTTAGTTCTCTTATTTTGATGTTAAGTTTCTGTCTGGCAGACCTGTCCAGTGCTGAGAGTGGAGTTTTAAAGTCTCCCGCTATTATTGTGTGGGATTTAATGTGTAATTTAAGCTTTAGTAGTGTTTCTTTTACATATGCGGGTGCCCTTGTATTTGGGGCACAGATGCTCAGTATTGAGATTTCCTCTTGATCAATTTTTTCCTGTGATTAATATGAAATGTCCTTCTTTGTCTCTTTTGATTTATCTTAGTTTGAAGTCTATTTTGTGAGATACTAGGATAGCTACACCAGCTTGTTTCGTAGGTCCATTTGATTGGAAAATTTTTCCCAACTCTTTACTCTGAGGCAATGTCTGTCTTTGAGGTTGAGGTGTGTTTCTTGTATGCAGCAGAAGAATGGATTCTGTTTTCATACTCAGTTTGTAAGCCTCTGTCTTTTTATAGGTGAGTTGAGTTTATTTATATTAAGGGATATTAATGGACAGTGATTGCTAGTTCCTGTTATTTTAGTTTTCATTGTTGGTGGTATTATTTTATGAGTTTTTCCTTTCTTTGGGATTTGCTGCTGTGAGATCATCTATTGTCTGTGTTTTTGTGAATGTAGCTAACTTCTGTGGGTTGGAGTTTTCCTTCTAATTAAAAATCAAATAATTTGCCGGGCGGTGGTGGCGCACGCCTTTAATCCCAGCACTCGGGAGGCAGAGGCAGACGGATCTCTGTGAGTTCAAGACCAGCCTGGTCTACAGAGCTAGTTCCAGGACAGGCTCCAAAGCCACAGAGAAACCCTGTCTCGAAAAATCAAAAAAAAAAATCAAATAATTTTTAAAAAGAGACACCTTATTTAAAAAATGATAATTCCTTTTTAAAGTGACAAGTATAACTATTGATTTGTCTCAGTCTTTGAGCACTTTTTAGGATAAATATATTTGTTATGTAAAATTAGGTATTTAGGTCAGTAGTGGAGTGCTTGTTCAGTACATCTGAGACTCTGGACTTTATTCTAGCACTATAAATAAATTAATTACATAAATGAGATATTTTAAATGTGACATCTTGAAATTTGTGGGTAAATGGATGTATCTAGAAAACATCATATTGAGTGAGGAAACCCGACCCAGAAAGACAAATATCATATGTACTCACTCATAAGTGTGTGGCAA